TCACCCAGCACAGAGTTGGTCCTTTGCCTATGACGCCCATGTGTCTACACACAATTGTGTTTTCTGTGTGTGTGCTTTCCCTCTCTTTCTGTTCCAGGGCATTTAGGGATACTTCCTGCATCTATGAAACCCTTACACCACTCTGTGTCAGATTCTGTGCTGGTCAACAGTGGGGTCATGCGGGTGACTCAGAAGTGGACTCAGATTGGACAGATGGCTCTGCTTCAAATCCACATGTGGCAGTGACATTTCAAGGAGCTAGGAGCTCTAACAAGCAGGAAGCCAGTACAGAGGGATGAGAGAGGACCCAGAGCTGGAGATGAAACACCGGGCCCAGGTGGCTTTTCTGGGCTCATCCTGGACCAAAGCAGTCACAACAGGCAGAGGGAACAACAGGTGTAAGGATGTGAGGGAGACATGAGAAGTGGGGAGATTTGGGGAGTCACGCGGGGTTTGCTGGACCGAAGCTGGGGTGTGCAGTAGGTGGTGGGTACAAAGGGAAGGGAAGATCCCACTGAGGACACAGGGGCAGAAAGGCTGAAGCTGAGGACCTTGAGTGCCAGGCTGAGGAATTGTGGCTTCCTTGAGAGTGACCTGAGGGCCCACTGACTGGGTCAAGCAGGTCTGTAGTGAACTGATTTTCAGAAGGGTCATTGAGAAGCTACTTTGGAAGATATAACGAAGGACCAAGGAATGAGTGTAGTTGTCACAGGCTGGATGAGAGGCCATGAACTGGAATCTTGACCTGCAGCTCAGCAGAGACTGAGATTTGGGGTCATCTGAGCAGGAGGGGTTATGAGTGTTTTTCCACCCAGGCTGAGGTCCTGGCTGTGCTGCGGTCTGCTCTCAAAGGGCAGGCAGGGGCAGGCCAGGACACACACTGGCCTCAGATACTCCCTGGTGGAGCAGAAGGAGGACTCCGATTCTTTCTTATCCAGGGCCAGCCCTTGGAATTCCTCCCTCAGCAGCCACCCTACACCCGTGCTTTGGAGGAAGACTCCAAGGGCCCTGCTGTGCAGCCTCCTGTGTGCGGAGCTGCTGGCGGCTTTGTGCGCAAAGCTGGCTCCAGCTGAGATAAGTCTGTGGGGCCCAGGGGCCCTGGAAAGCTGCAGGCCAAGTGGGGTCTCATTTAGTCAGCAGCTTAGCCAGCTGTACATTTAGTTAATCACTGCCGTCCTGGGATCCTGCTAATCAGGAAGCCAGGGGTTCACTCCTCTTGTCGGTGGCGGCTTCAGAGGAAGACAGAATTGGCCTGAGCTGAAGCCCAGCTTTATGCTGCCTGGGCCCCCCACATAGGTAGTCAAATATCAGGCTCATTCTTGCCCACGTGGATGCCTTGTCAGCCCTCCAGGCCCCTGGGGACGCCTCCCACAGGCTTTGCTGCAGAGGAGACCAAGCCTAAGGAAAGTTAGGGCCGTGGGTCCTGGCATCCGCTCCACACCCTGCCTTTCATGGCTCAGGCCCGGTGGTAACAGCCTCTTCTGCCTCCTCCATGCCTCCCTCTTGCTATTGCAGCTCTCCCAGGAGCTCTGCCTTACACCAGGAGGGGCCAGGAGAGCCGAGGGAAGAGTGCTCACCAGAACCAAGGGGTCAGCGGTACAAGGTCCAGACACTGACCAGGTAGCCTTGTCCCTCCGAAGCTCAGTTTTCTTACCTGTTAATGGGGCCTTTTTCATGCATGAGAGAGCACTGGTGGGACAGGAAGGACCTGTGCACGGCGTAAGACCTCATGGTCTGCACACGTCTAGCTGCACTCTGGGCCGGCTGTGTGGAAGCCAGAGCTTTCTTTGACCTCCTTTCCTGACACTTCTGGGAGAGTGAGAGTCCTGAGCACAGCACTGCAAAGCCACCCTCCTCCTGCCCCCCACCCCCAGGCCCCACACTTCTCACCCCTTTGACCCCAGCACCCCAGCCGGCTCCATGCCCTCACTCTGTTCCCACACCAGACATTCTTGCCCCTGGAAATCCTGCCCTGGTTCAGGTCATGTTTGCTTTGTGGTAATGAAAATATTGATTGGGATCTGTGAAGTTCTGCCAGCCTGGCATGAGAACACAGAAGTGATGAATCAGACCTGGCCACACCTCGTCAGTACTCCTTCCTCCACCAGGCCCAGCTGTATATACTAGGTGCCCAAGAAATGCCAGCAGTGTTTTGTTGTAGTCAGGGCTCATGACCAGAGCTCCAGAGGACCCTGAGCTTGGGCTTTTTTGTCCTGAATTCTGAGTTGTTTGATCTTCCCAAGTCTGGTTTTGCAAATGAATTCCAAGGGGATGAATGTTGAGGGCTTGGGCTTGGTGTGGCCCCGCTTTACACTGCCTTGTGGTCTTGGGTAGATGTGTGGCTTACTTACCCCTGGGATCCTTGGTGCCACCTGGCTTTCCTCACTGGAGCTCTGTTCTTCCTCCAGAAGTGCAGGCAGGACGGGGTCCAGTGCTCCTGTCCTGCCATGCCTCGGCATGGGACATCCATCTGTGCCTGAACCTGCAGTGCTCTGGTGTATTCCCAGGCTGACTCGGAAGAACTGAGTCTCTTGCAGACTCCTGCCCAGGGCCTGGAAGTTGCAGCACTATCGTCCTCCCTGGACGGGAGGCAGGCCTGTGGGGAAAGTCGATGTGTGACTCAGCTTCCCGCATGGTGTGAGGTTCTGTGGCTGGCGATGGAGGATGTGGGAGCTGGGGAGCCTCACATGCCTGTGTGCCCGTTTTTGAGGTGGGGGCCCCAGGCCTGTGAACACTCGGCTGACGAGTGTCCCCATGAGCATAGGACTGCGACACTAAGTAGGAAATAAGACATTATGACAGGTTCAGAAAGTCCTCAGGGAAAGCAAAGGTTTACTTTGGGTTTAGCACTTTTACAGCCCCAGTTTCGTTTGTTTTGCTTTTGAACAGGGCCACTGCATTTCCTTCTTACACTGGGCGCCGCTAGTTATGCAGCTGGCTTTGCTTGCAGGAGAAAGAGCAGGAGGTGTAGATTTGGAGGGCTTTGTGAGTTCTTCTGTCTCTCCAGGCCCCCTACACCCTGCTTTTCTCTGGGCTTGGCCTGGTTTGGACGAGGTGTTGCTGGCCTCTGGGGATGTCTCGCCCTTCCCTGTTGCTGCAAAAGCCCTGTGCTCCCGGGGCCGGAAGGTTCTGCTTTTCCTCCTCTCGCTGCCTTTGCGTCTTCCTTTGCAGTTAGCACAGAGCACTGAGGGCAGAGGCGGTTTTGCCCCATGCTCACCTTGACCTGTATCATCTCTGTATCCCTCAGGGCCCTGGCACCACACTGGGCAGATAGAGGTGCTTTTTTGGATGTGCGAGTAATTTCTGTTAGGCCCTCATTCCACCAGGGGTCACTTTCCCTCGGTGCGCCTGGATTCTGTGGGCCTTACATGTCCAAAAGTGGGGCTGGTCTTTAACCCAACCTGTGTGTCTGCTGCTGTGTCTTCTTCGTCTCTGTCTGCCCCTGGGCTTCTCTGGCTCCTTGAAAGCAGGCTGTGGCACAGCTGTGGCATCGTGGCATGCTAGGCAGGGCCTCTGTCCTCTGACTGAGCCTCTCCTGGGCATAGGCTCTGCCACCCCAGGTCTAAGGAGCACCAGGAGCTGGCACACGCGTTAACCATTGGTTCTCTCCAGCAGGCTGTATCTAGTGACACAATAAAGATGAAAAGAAACTAAATATTTACTTATTTAGAAGTAAATAAACAATAACTGAAGCAGTCCTCATTTACTGCATGCTTTTCCTGTGCCTTCCTTTGTTGTAGGGGCTGTGTATATATATATATATATATGTATATTTATATGTATATGTATACGTATATGTATATATATGGTTTATATATAGTTTACTGTACACAGTGATCCCCTGAAGTACATCCTGGTGTGAGCCCCAGTTCGTAGATTAGAAGACTGAGTCACAGAGGTTATGAGGTTGACTTGCCCAGAGGTGCACAGTTGGAAAGTGATTCGGAGGTCTAGCATACAGCAAATCCAAGTGCTTCCAGGACTTGGGGGGTCCTTAGCAAGTACTGGATCCACACTGTCTTGCAAGACTGAGGCCCAGAGAGGAAGAGTGATGTGCTTCAGGCCACACAGCATGTCAGTGGGGGGCTGGAACAGAGTCTTGGCTTTCACACTGTCTGCTCTTCCCCCTCTTCATGCCTTCCTGCCTTTGAGGGAGCTCAGGGACCGTGATTCGGAGGATGCGGGAGATGCAGTAGGAGCCAAATGACATGAGCCATGGCAAGAAGAGGGCTGTGGGGACAGGGTGAGGGATTCTGATGGTTGGCATGTGGAACAGCTCCATGTGGGAGGCTAGTGTGTTTGGGGAAGGAGTCATCCACCAGGCCTGCATGGTTGATTGGGGAGAAGGAGATGTTTCCTGGATGGAGCTTCTCTGAGTCCTACAGGGAAGGGAGCATGGCAGCTTCCTGCAGGGAAGCACTCTGAGCCCCCAAAGAGCCCAGAGGTGACTTCCCTCTGTGCCTTTCCTCAGAGACCTGGGGAAGCTGCAGACACTTTTTTGGGGGAACTCAGACTTACTGAGGTGGTGCTGTTCATGCTGAGTACGAGTGTCTGAGAAGCAGCCACAGAAGCCCAGCAGGCAGCAAAATGTGCAGATCAAGGATCTAGGAGAGAGATCTGGGCCAGAGAGAGACCTGGCAGCTGGTGCCTGGACCCTGCATTCAGAGGAAAATGAGTGTTGAGCGGATGGCAGCCTCTGGCCCACAGTAGCAGCTGGTTTATGAGGGTGGGGCGAGGTGAGGAGCCGGAGGAGATGGTGGGGGAGGAAAGAGGAGCCAGGCCAGGCTTCTGCAGCAGTGGTATCCCACAACCTCTGGGCTGTGTCTCACAGAAAGTCCCAGGGCTATGTCTCTGGTAAGCGGGCAAGGATGGAAGCTGTGGGTGAAATCTTTGCCCACCCCCAAGTCTGGAGCACCAGGCCACTGTGATCTCTTCAGGAACTCAACAGCTGGTCAGGAGAGGCTGCGGGTCACTGGCTCACATCTCTTTTGTTTCCGTAGGAGAAGGGGCCACACCGTGCACATCGAGCATCCTCCAGGAGAAGCAGCGTGAGTTAACCTGACCTGGGGCCCTGTCTTCCTTTTCCCTGGTTCGTGGTGCAAGCCCCTGGGGCTCGGGTCCTCCTGCCCACTCAGAACCAAAGGGTTGCCAGTGTCGTCTCATGTGGTCAGGGGAAGGAACAGAGGGCCTGAGTCTGGGTGCTGTCTTAACCTTCATGTTCCCGAGTTGCCATGTTCTCAGTTACTCTAGCATGACGGGTGTGAGGCTGGTGGGGTGGGTGGGAGTAGCCAAGCTGGCCAATGTCCTTTTTACCTGGATAGAGACCAAGTGACAGACTGGGGAGCCAGCTCTCCTGTGCCTTTGTGACCATCTCCTTTGGTTGACACAGTTTACAGGAGCGACAGGTGTTGTGGTGATTAAAGGCAGAGTGAATGAGTTCAAGGTTGTACCACTGATCTTAATCCACAAAATCTCCCCCACCCCAGAGGTCATATCTGCAGAGCCAGGGCCCTGGGGCTGAGTTCTGGAGTTCTCTGTCTTTGTCCTTCTTGTGTGTCACATTGGCCTCTTCAGGTTGCCTTCTGCCTGTGTTTTCTCTATCCCAGTCCTAGACCCAGGAGAGTCACGCTAAAGATGTATCAGTATTCTTCATGGATGTTCTGGGGGAGACTTGGTGGCCAGTGACTGAGCCTCATGTCTTTGTAGCTGCAGTACTGAGGATCACAGGAGGCTGGGAGTATGGCTAGGGATCTGTGTGTTTGTTGAGAACTTCTCTTTCTGATGATCTAATCTGTGGTCACAGCTTTGGTCACAGCCCATGCTGCCCTCCAGTTCCCCAGGCCTCAGGCCCACTGCAAGCTCTCCTGTCGTTTGCTACTAAACAGTGGTGAAGGACATGGCAATGGTGCCACTAGCCTCCTACACCATCCACCCCTGAACAGGTGCACAGGCCTTCAAAAGAATCTTTGAGGTCTCGAACATTTGGATGCAATTCATAGACAAAGCCTCTACTGCACTAGGGGATAGTGGGCGTGAGTGTGTTCATCAGGGGACCCCCCCAAATCTCCTGGTGTCAAATGTACTAGGTAAGAGGGAGGGCAGGGCAGAGAGAGTGGGGGGGGCACAGTTCAAAATATACCTGTAGAATTTTCATTTATGGAGCTCGCTGAGTGGTGACCCAGAGATTAATGCCATTGAAAGGAGCATTTTTTTTTTTTACATAGCTTCAAAGAGAAGCGGTGTGCCACACATGGAAGGCAGGCTGCAGGGGAAGCCACAGTGTAGTCAGGACCAGCCTCTATGGAGATTTCTGTACCAAAGTCAAGGCAGTGCGAACTGCTTCGAACAGCTCTGGGCCTTGCCCCTGCTGCTGTAGAGCAGTGAGCTGCCTTGGTAGGCAGTGTTAGTCACAGGAGGGACTTAGAGGAGGAACAGAGTTTGGCTGGTTGCCTGTGGAAGGTGGGTTCATGGGAGCATCATTTATTTTCTGTGGGAACCAGCCTGTGTAGAAGGGGCAGTGTCTTCTCCCTGGCCAGGAAGGCCCCCAAGATATCAAAACATAGCCAGGATTCTGACTAATACAGGGATGTGGCCACATTCCCAGCTATGTGGGAGAGGAAAATCGCCCAGGTCATCCCTGCTGGGCCTGTGGGGAGAGGGAGCCACGCAGCACCCTGGAGGTGAAAGCAGCCACCAAGATGGGGTTTATCTCCACCAGGCCGAACCACAGCCCGTCTCCCACAGACACCGTGACCTGACAAGACAGCCAGTGTCTTTTGGGCCTTGCTGAAAAAAATCATGTTTCAGTAGAAGCTAAGTCATTTTTTTCCTCACAGTTATGGATTTTAGTGAAAATTATATTGTTGAAGGCTGTCATTGAATTCTGTTCCTTAAGGATGTTTTTATTTAGTAAAGAATAACTGTCAGTGTGCTGAAGGATTTTAGAGCTGAAATGATACCTTACAGGCTGTCTGGCCCAGTGAGTCCCGAGTATACACCCAACACTTTGGCTGTGAGAGAACAGCCCTGCAGCGTGTTTTCGAAAGAGAGGACTGCCTTCCGCATACACATCTCCATAGTCATGTCTGCCCTATAATATTTTGCGTTAAAATCATTTTTCCTTTATGAAGTGATAGTGGTAATTGATGATAATTTGTTTATGTTTAATCCAAAATTAGCAAAATAAAAGTTTGTAACCTGAGTTAAAGAATAATAGCATGCCTTACTTTATAATGTGTTTTCCCACTGACTTCTCTGTGGATTATCTTATTTAATACTTCCACTGGGTTTTTGAAAACTCACTGAAAACAGCTATGAGGCAGTATAAATCATCCTGGGTCAGGACTCAGAAGACCTTGGGACTGGTGCTGTCGTGTGTGAGGTTTAAGGCGGGTAGAGGTTTGCAGCTCCGAGTGGCTGTGATGTTTTGGGCATGTTGCTCAGTCTCAGAGCATCTGTGTAATTACTGTGGAGATATAACCTGCCTCCTGGCTAAAGTTGCTGAGAGAATCAGAGATAGTCCGTGTGCTAGGTCAGGGTTCTATCTGAGGCCCCGGAAGTGTCTTGTGGTTCTCACTCATTGTTGTTGGCATCTGAAACGCCTGGTTCAGATGTGAGGATTGCATCTTGACATCTCACGGAGCTCAGTCTTCTTGGACCCGTGTTGATCCTATGGCTTTCTCATTGTCACTGTAGTGTTTCTCAGTCAACCGAGTCCCCAGAGATTCCTACTAAGCTGCACAAGGGCACTGGGTCCCAGGATGCAGTGAGGGGCAGGGCCTGGAGGTTACCAAGCCTCATCTATGGTGGCTTCTGGGCCCTGAGTTCTGGAATTCGGCCTCCATTCTGTCTGCCAGACAGCCCAGTCCTGTCCTGCTGCCCTGTCAATGAACAGGCAGCCTGGGTAGCCTGGCACCACGAGTGTGTGCTTGTGATTTGGAGCCAGATTGGAGGACGTCCAGGGAGCCATCGTGTGTGGAGGCCAGGGGGTGCAGCAGGAGAGGGAGGCCTTGGGTGGGGGAGGGGACAGAGATGCTTCCTCCGCAGTCTGCATGGTCTCCTGGGCTCTGGCCAGGCCCAGTTTGTCTCTCATCTGCATGTGTGGACCCTCTTCTGGGTCCAGCATTCCAGGGCCTTCTGACTTCCTGCTGTTGCCTCTGTGTCTCTTGGTGTCCTTCGCTGGCATCTCTTTGTGTACCTGCCTTGTCCCCCTGTTGCTGGTGTCTACTCCCATCATAGAGGAAGCCTTCACAAGAGGCTTCTTGCCTCAGGTGTGCTGGAGGGACCCTCAGAGAGCTTCGGGTCTGCCCGTGGAAGTGCACTCCTGCTGCTCTTCTGAGGGAAGTGGGTGTTGTCATCTTCCACAATTCTGAGCTGGAAACCCAGTCCCTTCCAGTCCCTGTCTCCATCACTAGCCAGTGCCATCAGACACAGTGGCATCATGTGGCCTCCAGTAGCGCTCTCCATCCCACCTCTCCTCTCATCTCCTTTCTCTACTCAGGGCCACTCTAGGTGCCACGTCCTCTAGAACACTGGCCCCCCACCTCGTCTCCCCACTCTGTCCCCTTTCCGGAGTGGCAGGGATCCCTTTAGTGGCAGCAGTCAAGGCCCTCTGGTACCTCCCGAGGCTGCCCTTTGACCTCCCCGCCCACTTGGCTTTCCTTTTCTCATCAGCCTCCCTGCTTCTCTATGAGAGAGCAGGACTGCCCGAGCGCTGACTCCCTGACTTCTCGTGGGCTGTCTGGGAAGCCTGAGAGTCCACCATCCTGTGGAGGGAGCAGGGACAGCCTTCTTGCCAGCAGATGATGGGAAGGACCCAGATCTCTGGGGACCCCTGTCCTGGCTGCTCCCTTCATGGCTGACTGGGCAGCAGGGTTGAAGGCAGAGAGTGACAATCCCTCCTGCTGTGAGCTACCACCTTCTTAGGAGAGTGGAGGCCAGAATTGGCCCCTTAGGGCAGGAACGCCCTCGCCTCTGCTCACTGCCTCACTGGAGGGTGCAGGGTGCTGCCCAGCCTGTTGTCCTGATCTCCATGGAACCTTGTGCTCCGAGGGGTTATAATCTTGACAGCTGTGTCACAGGGAGAGAAGGAAGATGCCCAGAGCTAAGCAGCAGTGGTCTAGCCATCTCTCCATTCCTGGAGCTCTCTTCCATGCCTGGCTCCATCCAGACCAGAATTCCTTTTTCTCACAATTTCTCCTTTCACCTCAGATCCTCCCTACCCCAGTGCCTTTTGTCACTGGCTCTCTCAGGAGCCAGTTCCACTGTCATTCTCCTTTCTACTGCCCCAAACTCCCTGGGGTCCGGGCCGTGTGCAGAATAGGAACCTCCACATTTTAAGTGGAAGGGTGTCCTCCATCTTGCTCCACCTGGAGGGGCAGATTCTGCCCCAGGGAGACTTACCCGCTGTGGCCCAGGACCCCACAGCAGCCTGACACATGGCACCCAGCCTCATGGTGGCAGTCGGCTGGCTTTGTCTGGGGCCAACACTGGCATTAGGGGTGGAGGAGGGGCCCAGTGTGCTGGGATCTGCCCCTTGCTGTGCCCTGTGGGATTCTGATCCTCTCTTGGTACCTGTCCTGACTGACAGTGGGCCACACTGAGTCCTGGTTTTGGCCCCTGACTGACCCTTTATCTTCACTGTCACCCGAGCCTCTGTCATAGCCACCAAGTGAGCCTTGCTCCCACTCCGCTGCATTCTGACTGAAGTCCCTGAGCCGGCCTGAGCTTGAACCCTTGGTCAGTCAGGGAGGCATGGACACTCAGCATTGCCCTCCCCGCTATGAGCCATGATTTGACCTCACGTTCTGCTGCCTAGTGTCAGTGACCAGAGGACCAGTTTCCCTCCTGCACGTGCTCAGCCCACGGTCTGCACAGAAGGAGCCCTGAGGCAGGCATGGTGCATGAGGCCCCTTGCCCGCAGCTGGCCTCCCCACTCCTCTGCCTGGTAACTGGTGTCTTTTCCTGGCCTGTGTGGGCAGCTTGCTGAGCACAGCTGCAGACAGGCTATATTTAGCTGGCTTTAATGAGCTCAGGGTGGCAGACATCC